ATCGTTCGACGGCCGAACCGCTGCTGTCCAAGTTCTCCTCTGTCTGGTCATCAGAAGATGCTTCCCATGTACGTGCACACAAGTAGCCCAGATAGGCCCTTAGGACTGGTACGGTGGTGTGTAGATGGTTACCAGCTTGATGTTCAAACCGAGACCGAAAGACAGTTGCAAGACGCTTGCCTACCTAAGCACCGAGACCGCGCGCTGTTTGCGCCTTGAATCAGAGCACCACAAGCAGGTTCCAAGTTAGAACACGCAGGTACTATCCAGTACAGCAGTGCGCTCAATTGCGCAAAGACATGGACAGCAAAGGTATTTTAAATGCTGGGTTGCATAAATATGACATGCTAGTCCACATAAAGTCTTCAGACTAGTGTCATCTGCCTTAACAGCTGCCCTGGAGTCCAGCTCTCCTATTTACTTGAACCCATCAATATAATATAAATGCCTGCGTTACTCCCCATGACAGAATTCTTCTACCAGTTCACTTGGTGCACACACCTGAGAAAACACACTTGTGCTGACCGCCTTCATTTCCTCTTAATTCTGCCTGCTTCACCTTTTGCCCAGCAACAGGCCGACTTGGTTATTTCAAACACGGTATTTAACCAACACCGTCACTTGGGCTGTACCTTCCCGCAGGACTGGAAACTGACCGTGGAGAACTGGTCCCTCCGCCCCTCATTCAATTTCCTGGAATTCTGTTCTTTTCATCTCTGAATCAGTTTGTGATCGTAAGAAGCCACCGTGACAGAAGAGTTGTTAGGAACCCAGCTCCCCTCCTAGCTTTATCGGTACCCAGAGCCGAGCCTGCGGTTGTCCGTGCCAGCAGCAGGGAAGGGTCGGGGGATCGGCTGGAAGTGGCTGCCCGCAGTCGGTAACGTGCTTACCGGTCTGTCTGAAGAACGTGGATGAGATGTTCCATGGCCTGTATGCCCACCTCCAATCGGTATTTCTGTTCGGAGAAAAATGCAGTAGTGAACAGACTACCCAAAGTCCAAACAAAGCTTTTTAAGCAATACATCACAAAACTATTAAAAACCCATGCAGCTCCCATCAGGAGGCTCGTTACTTACCTTGGATAATGATTTAAGAGCACGTACAGCATCCCTCCGGTCATCCAGCAGAGTGGAAGAAGCTACGCGGTCACACAGCTTCTGAATCTGGAAACGGACGAGACAGGCGTGACACGGGACAGCGTGGCGACACGGGACAGCGTGGCGACACGGCCACGGAACCGGTTCCCAGCGGCTCCGGG